ATCGACTCCCCAATGGGCTGATAGCAGTATTGTCTATGTATATCTACCACTGAGTTGAGGGTTGTGGACGCCACACCAGAAAATGTCTGTCTTCATGTCTGAAGTTTTTGCTCGCTAGAAATAAGTGGTATTCTGAGCATAGCTGCAGGCAATCACTGTTATCTGTTCGTTCGGCTGAAATTCCGAAAGTGCCACCTATCTGGCTTTCTACCTGAACTATCATGTGAACGTGTGCACTGAAATCACCTGAAACTAGTACCACGTCTAAGTCCTTGGGTTTCGGTGGGAAGCTAAACAGTTTTCGGTAGAACTCATCCTTGACTTCATCCGGACTACGAGTGCTGCTGGAAAACGGAAACACCAAAGCCGTGTTCAGTGAGAAGTTGACTAGGCAGTTATGGGAACAAAATACTGTCACTCATCCAGAAGAAGCTTGGTGCCATCTTCAGTCTGCTGTAAAAGCAGCACTGAAGACTGTAGCCGACTCCAAAATAATGGCTAAAAAGAGCCAGTGGATATCAGCAGCTTCTTCCAAACTAATGGATGCACGTGAATGCATCCCTGCAGGCTCTGAGTACAATGAAGAGCGAGCGCAACTTAAAAATAGACTGACGAAAAGTCTGCGCAACGATCGTGAACAGTGGTGGGCAGCAAGGCTAAAGAGATGGAAAAGGCAGCGGCGATCGGTAACAGTAGACAGTTATTTAGACTTATTAAGGAGACTGGGGGGAAATGGTCAACAACAGTTAGTGAGGCTATAGCGGAGAAGGACGGATCTGCGATTCACTCGCAGGGAAGACGACTGGAACGATGGGCAGAACACTTCGAGGAACAGTTTAACTGGCCTCCAGCCACCATTGCGCTGCCCGCTATCCAGTCGGACCCTGAATGGGACATAGAGACAGGCCCCCAACACTAGAAGAAGTTGAGAAAGCGGTAGGTAGCCTGAAACGAGGAAGGGCAGCAGGACCAGACGGACTACCTGCTGAGGTATACAAGAATGGTGGTAGAGTTCTCTTAGTCAGGTTAACGGAAGTGTTAGCCAGTATATGGGAATCAAATACGATCCCCTCCGACTGGTCTAAGTCACTGATCATCCCAGTCTTCAAGAAAGGCGAGAAGTCCTCTTGTGATAACCACAGAGGAATCAGCCTGACGAACATAGTGTCTAAGATCCTAAGTTCTATAATTCTCCGACGCCTGAGTGGAGCTCGGGAACAGCAAGCCCGAGAAAACCAGGCAGGCTTTAGACCTGGCCGTGGATGTATCGACCAAATATTCACACTGCGCCAGGTCCTGGAACATAGGCATGCTTACAGACGCCCGACAATAGCTGTATTTCTCGACCTGAAGGCGGCATTTGACTCCGTTGATCGAGAAGTCTTATGGCAATGTCTGTCACTGAAAGGCGTGCCTAGTAAGTACATCACCTTATTGAAAGCTCTCTACTCGAACACTTGTGGGCATGTTAGAGCCTATGGTGAGTTGTCCAGGGAGCTATACTCATCAAGTGGTGTCCGTCAAGGATGCCCACTATCCCCATTCTTATTTAATTTTATCATAGATATTCTTATGGAGGTTTCCCTCTCGTCACCTAATTACACAGACGTTGACCGATCACAGGTGAATTTTCTTTAGATCTAGAATATGCAGATGACATAGTCCTGTTAGGTGAAGACGCTGACAAGATGCAGAGTCTTCTGAACACTTTGAGTGGGAATTTGAGAATGTTTGGGATGCGATTTTCACCACCCAAATGCAAATTTTTGCTCCAGGACTGGTCTTCAGCGGTACCGCGGTTAACAATAGAGAGTGAAGTGGTTGAGTGTGTTGACCACTTCACTTACCTGGGAAGTAGGATCAACTGGGTGGGTTAGTTGCCGATGAGATTTCTGCACGGATACAAAAGGCTCGATTGGCTTTTGCCAATTTGCGCCACCTATGGCGCCGCCGTGATATTCGTTTGTCTATTAAGGGTCGCGTGTACTGCACAGCAGTCCGCTCTGTTCTACTGTATGGCTGTGAAACATGGCCATTGAAAGTGGAAGATATGAAAAAGGCTTCAGGTGTTTGACCACCGTTGCCTTCGTAGTATAGGACGTATTCCGTGGTGTCACCATGTGAGTAATGCAGAAGTTAGGTGTAGAGTTTTGGGGAGAAGAGGTAAGTCAGTTGACGAGGTTGTGAACCTTCATCGACTGAGATGGTTGGGACACGTACTACGTATGCCTAGTCACCGATTGCCTCGTCACACAATGTTGGCTGAGGTGGGTCCAGGCTGGAAAAAGGCCCGAGGTGGCCAGACTAAAACATGGCACCAATGTATGAAGTCTCTGACTGTTGGTTTAAGCCATGTAGGACGATGCAGACTAGGTGGTTGGGGTCCACGGGACAAGAGGAACCAGTGGTTGGAGACCCTAGGTGATATGGCTCAGAACCGAAGTCAGTGGCGCAGATGTATACACACATTATCCTCATCTTAACAACGCTATACCGAATCTCACCATTTTGTCACTCCTCTTTCCTTTCTTCTCGTACTTTATATTTCTTTTGACTGCATTCACTTATCTTCATCCTTCACCTCACTACCTTTCTACTTGATGAACTGACGTGAGGTGTGGCAACTCGGACCGTTACGCAGTAATGCCTGGTCCTATGTTAATAATGATGATGGACTGCAGTCAGTAGGTGCGTAAACACAAGCCACAAGGGAACAGCTGCAAGTTTCACTATTCTTTTCAGTACCGTTCATTCGAACAGCGCGCAGGCGACTGTCAACTGGGATCCAGTCGAGTAGAGGACTTTCTGCCTTAGTGTTTAATGCAATACCTACACCAGCAAGATCACGGGAATTGGCCACTGAACCTGCAAAAATTCGAAGGGTAAGTTTTGTGGATTCACCATATTGCCTGGATAAGGTTAAGTAAATAACCGCACTTAGTTCTTGTATACGTGTCTCACAAGCACACCACTTGTCCATGGCTCAGGATGCTAGTGTTGGCTAGGGAAACTTGTTGGCAGACGAGGGAAGGTCAGGGCGTTGGAAGTTCCGAAGTGTGGTTTGGAGCGTAGTATCAGATGATCAAGAGTGCCGTTCTGTGAACTCAAATCGTTGTCCAGAGCTGCAGAGTTGGGAGAAATTAAAGATGGTGTGGGATAATTGACTGAGAGATGTGAAGGAGGATTAGAAAGTAAGGATGTAGGAGGTTGACAGTGATCTGAGGGAGCTTGAGTGCTGACGGATTAGTGAGGATGGTTGGTCGTTCTTCAGCAGTACATTGATATAATATATGCATTGTATAAACCTTATTTTTTCCAGTTATCGTATCATGTGATTGTGTGGTATAGCAAGTGCAGTTGGAACCTTTGTATAAGCTTTGGGTGGCTTAAAATTATTACTTTTATAGCATTGTTTATGCACGGTGAAATCAATATGTTGGCAATATGGAGACTAGATTTAGAATATTAATAAGTCGAGGAAATTCACTAGTTGATGAGGTCATAAATATTCACCAACTAAAGTGACTGGATGACATGCCCATTATTTTAAATATGTCACTGGGTTTTTTCCCTGACTGACATGAAAGTTTATCCTCCACCTCAACGCATTATACTAACTTGAGGAGGATTAAGGTAAAAAAAAACTAATTGCGACTAGATCAAGATGTCACATTATTTCGTTTTTCTCAGCCTACACTGCTGCAGTAACTAAAGCATAAAAGCATAACTAGAAATTCTCCAGTTCATTCAGTCATCACTTGTTTGCTGTCTATGCATTGTTAAAGCATTTCTTTAAAAGGAGCGGATTAGCATTTCCAGTTACACACTTTTCAGATAGTGACTTATAAGCTGCACAGCTGGTTTTTCAAAAGCTACATGTTTACTGAATTGTTATACGTAGGTAGATAATCGAAGTAGTATAATTGTTTGAATGTATATAGAAAATACCGTGTCCATAGCAAAATGATCAATGTCTCTGAAAGAACACTTATCTAACGAAATGAAGTGGTGAATAAAAATGACACGGGAGTGTTGACGTGTTGTAGTTTTATTGCATCATTTGTCACTTTAAAGGTACATATATACATTAAAGGTTTGGGTTTTTAACTTATTGCCTTGAGAAAACTGTATTCTGGCGTTATCACGTTTGATCAGTGTTATATTATTCATGTAGTCAAGGTAGTGGTAATTTGAATTGCCTTCCAATCAGCAACCAATAAAATAAATTCGAGGAAGTCAGCCAAACAACGTTTACTTCCTATACAGTAGTCATGGACAAAAATCTTACCAATAAATCTCCCATTTAAACTGAGTTCTCCTTGTTTAACTAAAATATACTACTTACGAGAGCAATGATGCTTTGCGCAACTTTTTGGTTTATAATCTTAAAGACTAAAGTGGTTTAGGGGAAGATAACCTTACGGACATTATCAAAAAAGCTTAATTCGAACACATTATTCTGATTAGTTTGCGTAAGGATTTATGCAGTTTATCTAGGTTATCATTCATAATTTTTTAATAATAGCAGAAATACAGTAGCCATTACTGATGAAGTTTTTCGTAGCCGGAATTTGTTTATTCTTCGAATAGGATATAAGGTATCATCATTAATTGTTTTATTCAGACTTGCTTTTCGAGTCATAATCATCCTTGCTATACGACTACTAAATTATGCATACGACAAACAGACTTGTTAGTCTTATCTATCACGTTTCTCAATATTCTCGTTAAAATACCTTGATAGTGTCTGCTTCACAGTTTATTAAGTATTTAACAACTTCGATATAACTGAACAATAAATTGTGTTTGAAACCTCATTTAGTGAATAACACTGTTTCATTGTTTGAAGTAAAGTAGTGAATTTATAATTATTAACTGCCGACGTATCCAAATTCTATTCTTACATTACGGGGGTGCAGTAGGCTTTAAAGAATCTGTCTAATCAACGTTTTCATTATTTACAAAATAATCATAATAGTTTTCCTAATTCTGATTCCTAGACTCGTCTCCCACCTGAAGTGAACAGAATATTGTTGGTGAAAAATTTGCCTTATAACATATCAGCGGAAGAAATGTATGATATTTTTGGAAAGTATGGCGCCATTCGTCAGATCCGTATTGGTAACACTCCTGAAACTAAGGGAACTGCTCTGGTTATATACGAAGATATCTTCGATGCTAAAAACGCCTGTGATCATCTCAGTGGTTTCAATGTATGCAACCGATACCTTGTGGTTTTATATTATCAGAGAAATAAGGTAACCTCTACTGTTTTTATTGTTTTTTATGTCATCAATGCATGATTATTCATTTGTGTACTACAGTATATCATTTATTCTTTAGATTTATGCATTTATTACACACACTCATATTAGGGAGGTCAATAAATAACTAAAGAGGAAGACTTTAAGATGATTTAGGATATTTGTAAGTTAAAATGGTGATTTTGGTGGTTTTACGTCTGATAGATTGAACCATTCATCTCAGGAGAAGTAAAACCCTAAATCATTTGATAGTGATTTATGAGTATTAGCATCTAGACTAGTGGTAAACCGTCTGCAGATATGAATCCAATCTGTAACCAGTTTAACTATTTGTAAGTTTTATAGTCCAAGTTCACAGAATTATGAAGAAATTTCCGCTTGATTTCTTTTTATAACCATGAACTTGTCATATGGTTTGGTCTGCTTATCACCCACAAAGCCAGAAACGAAATAATAATGATCTTTTTTTTCCAAAGCGTTGTTTCGAGATACACACTCCGTATCTACATAAGTAGTTGAGAATCATTCACTTAAATCAGTAAATAGTTAGCCAGCTTGTTTAAACACTGCACAAACGTTTCGCGCGTTTCTATAGTGTTTTATCGGGTTATTTCCTGCACACACTTTTGATAAATTCTCAAAAGCGATGGGTTTCTGTTGGTTGGATCACCGAAATATAGTAAGCAAGCACTTATATTAAATGCTACGAGTCAGTAGTAGAATGTTACTAAGAAATTGATGCAAACGAATAATTCCATTGTATCATATACAATGTGAGATTCAAGGATATATTTTGATGAGATACAGCTATACTTTTTGAAGATATTTGTTAACAGTCAGATACTGGAAATGCTTTCTAACACTAGATGGGTTTGAAAATAGAGTTGCCTTTTTATAATTCTTTCAGAAGCAATAAAAAAAACTTACTTCGTTTTTCTCTTCTAATGTTTTTTGCAGCAATTTAAGAAAACTGATGTGGATAAGAAGAAGGAGGAATTAGACCGATTGAAGGCAAAGTATGGTTTAAACACTCCGAAGATGAAATGATTCACTTTACAACGTATTTGAATTTAGTTGGAGTTTCTCCTAATCAGAATTCCTCGAATGCTTATGCGTTCAAAACTGTAATTTTGATAAGTCAGTTAAATAAATATTGTGTATAAAAGTAACATATTCATTTTTTTCTAGCAAAATTAAGATATCTGGATAATGAAAACAGGTCAGTCGTATTTTACGGTTGAACTTGGCTTTGCAAAAAAAAACGAATGAAATGGAACTTGGGAGATTGTGTCTGCAAATTAAAGTGCATTCACAAAGATAGCATTAAAAGTAATGATGGGCAACAATAGGCATGTAGGTGTCGGTTATATAAAAACTTTTATTTAAGAGTTTTATTTGACTACATTACTTGACAATAATTCATAGAGTATTGCTTAGCCACAGAAGACTTGTTTCTCAAATGCTCTTATAAGTTACTCAGCTGAACTCAAACTAATGATTACTATTCATATGGCAGTACAAATAAGTAGAAAGATTACAAAAAGCACTTGGTTCTGAAGATTTCACTGATCCTCTGATTTGAACAGTTTACCTGTAAGAAGTGAATGAAAATCGTAAAGGATAAATTGGTTTTTACTGGGATGGTATAGTCAATATAATCGATTATAATCAGCCTTTAATTGGAATTTATTGAATGTAAGTATGTATGAGATGCTGAAAAACTTGGGGCTACTGCAAAACTATACTTCAGCTGAATGTATGTGGGTTTTGTGTTTCAAATTTTCACTGTCTACGAAAGACAACTTTTTGATTTTAAATATCTTAGTTCAATGGTTTGTGTATTTAAGTAAGCCTTCTTCTCATTCACTATAACATCTTTAACGAAAATGTTGTCCGAAATGGTTGGATAAATCACTTTTGAGAGCATTACTATCTTTGAAAATACAGCCTGGGGTAACAAATGCAATGTTACATGTTTAGAAGTTAAGTTATATAGTATTATCTACAGAAAATAGTATCACCATCCTCCTCTCGGTGTTATGTGCTAAGGTAAAGTATCAAACGTGACATTTAGATTGTGTGTTAGTTAATGTCATATAACAATTGAGAAATCTCTCTACGATAATAAAAGTCAGAATACAACTATAATCTTCTGGAGACATATTTTTCTTCACTGTTGTTTATTCCCTTTTCAGTTTTTGTGTGAACCTTATGAAGATGATCAGCAGCTAATGAAACGGAATATAATACTATATGATGTTAGCAACTGGTGAATACCTTTTAGAGATCAGTTGTAGGTTATATCAATGGGTTCATAATGAAATAGATACCAATAATTGTTTCAATCTAGTTGGGAACTTAATTATTTAAACTATCTAGATGTGGTCGTATAACTTAGAGTAAGATATCTTGAAGCTTGAGTATTATTTCACCAACCAGTTTTTCTCTGTCACATAATGGTATAATATCCCATTCGTTTACTGTCACGTATACCTTCTATATGATTAACGTGCTGACCTGAAAGTATGCTCGTTTTTTGCTGAGGTTTTATGTAAGTAAAGGTTAGTGCTCAATAAAGGTCTTGGATTTCAAGTTAGTATTCGTCACGGACTGACATCGTATGAAGAACCATTGAAAACCTGGGAGCATTGGATAGGTATTTCTTCCTAGTATGGGACTCCACAGTAGTACGCACCGACGACCCGGCTATGGTACGAACTCAGAACCTTCAGGTTTCAAGGCGAATGCGTTAACCCTTCGGTCGGATTCCAATGATCACTTTTTTCCTACTTCTGTCATTTCTCAACATAACGTTGAAAGAAGCAAGAAGACAAATACGAAAGAAGGAATGTTTATTGTCAACAAGTGGGACAGTAGTTGTTAAATATGGTACACCTTGCACTAAAACCGTCATCTGCAAAATGTGCTTCATTTCCTCTTCTGCCTCTCTCTTGATTTGCTCTTCATACGCCTGCGTTGTCTCTTGTGTTTCTCTCGGGAGAATTCTTACTCATTGCTGGTAATTCCCTATGATATCCGCCACCCTCTCAACGTATACTACTTATGTCTATTCTTATCAGCAAAGCCTACTACAATGTGACCGTCTAATGCCGTCATTGAATACGTGTCTTCGCTTCTGACTTTGAAGTTTTCGCAGGAGCTTAGTTATATAAGAATGTTGGACTTACTTATTTTATCAAAATGTCAGCGGGTAAAGTGATTTTGTAGATGGAAAGCACTTCAAATCGTTTAGATAGCGCAGACTTGTGTATGTAGGCCTCAATCCTGCCACAAAATCAGCAGATGAAGGCATATCCCCGTATGCAACAAAATCTCTGTGCCCTGACTTTCATGTCTTCGTCATTTACGGCCTTCGTATCAATTTTGACTGACGTTTTGGTTGGATAACTGTTTAATCAATGACTTCTGTTAATTATTTTCGAACGACTTCATGACTTAAACATAGCAGTTGTTTTTATTTCTATTCTCAACCATGCTAGTGACGTGAAATGTCATCAAACTCCTCTATCTGAAGTCCAGAAACGATGTCCTGTAATGATCTCTTCTCCCCCGTAGTCACCAATTGAAAAGACAGCTAATTACTATTGCCTGTATTTGAATCATAAAATAATAGAACCACTCATTTAAAGTGCGTTCCTAATCATCTCATCGCTAGAAAAGCTCAGTTGTACTGATATGGTAGAAGTCAAAAGTAGTTTCTAAACCCCTAATCACTGTGGTTTTCTTATCCCTTATTGTTAATAGAACAGAAATTCATGTGGGAAGGTAATGTACAAGTAATTCAGCCGAAAATCATAGCTACTGTAGAACAGTTAGTGCAAATATCTCATCTAGACTTGAAATCATTGAAAACGGACAGCAGAACAGCGTGAATTAATTTTATTTCGTTTATACTCATCGGTTGCTTATAACCATTATTTAAATACAAAGTTATAGCTGGATTTTGATTTGCTTTAGTTCATTGAAAGGTGGTCTGTCGATGAGTAAGGTACACAAGGCGACAGCATATTGAAGTGAATTAAAATAAAGTTAGTAAATTGTACTGTGGTGTTACAGATGTAACTCATTAGAACAGGAGTTTCCATACAACGAAAATTGATATAGGAAGCAACAAGATGAATGTGGGATTTAGAAAAAGGGGCTCCATAGGTAAACAGATTACTCAGTATAATGTAATAATACTTAGAACCCCATAGAATTAAATTGAATTTTAGTGTGAATTAAAAATTTGATGGAAAGAAGACGACTTAATCGAATGAATGGAGAGATTAGAAGTAGGTTATCAGGGCAGAGAAAGTCTAATTTGAGTTTCCTTTTGGACACAAATATAGCTTTAAGCCTCTGATTATTTTGCTCCTGGTAAACCCAAGAATAGCTATTTTGTTTGTGGGTTATCTTGTATAACCCTAAGGCATCTACTTATTAAAATTCACTGTTTCACTATGTGATGTTTCTAATAAACAGACTGAAATGGAATTACAATCGACCACAGTGCCCAAGTTTTACTCTTATACTAATTCACCCAATAGTTACCTGACTGTTTAACTACCGAAACTATTCTATCTCCCTGAATCATCAACTCTTCAGAACATTTTCAGAATATCTGAGGTAAACTATGTTTTTGGTTCTCTTGGTGTAAGTGCTCTGGAAAATACACGTAATTCAGTTGATAATTTGTAGGGATTATCTCCAGGCAGTTTTCAACATGGGTTGACATCAGTTACAACCATTGAAAACCTGGGAACGCTGAAAAGTGCGTGAAAAGTGCGCACATCTGATGAGTCCCGAGGTAGAGTGGAACAGCTATCTGATGCTTCAAGGTTTTCCCTAGCTCTCTAAATGGTGTCCATCCATATGATGAAAACTACTTTGAAATAGAAGTATATCGGTATTTAAAATTGTAAGTATCATGAGCAAGTTACCTGGCAATTTTTATCGCACCACTGAATAAGATGTCTGAAACAAAGGAACTAGTTTTAGAGGTGATGTTACCGCTAGTGCAGTACTCAATTTCCTGTCCTTTATGTTTGTGATATCATTATTTTTGAAGTTGAAACGACTGAATACTGAGTTCTTGCTGTCATATTTTATCAGATGTGTCCCACTTGCTCCTAATTTATTTGTTAATGAAGCTTCATTTTCGCTTAAGAACTGCCTAAGTGGCAGTGGCTCATCGGTCACCTTATCAGCATAACGTATCCTTTTCGTTACACAGAACAATGTCTTGACCAATACGTGTTTATAGTTAACTGAAAGAATGCTTATTATCTATCGGTACGAATACTCATTTTTCACTGTTTATCTACGTATGTAGTATATTGTGTATCATCAATTTTGCATATGATAGCGTACTTATTAACATGTCACTATTCAGAGCCTATTACATGCAGTCAACATTATCAACCTTCATGTCATGGCGTGCTGCTTCTAGGAAATATAAGAGTACTTGGCTTCATCTAAATTGACAGAACTTCAATTTTACTGAAATTAGCTATGATGAAAAAAACTTTATTGAAGTCACTAAATGAGTTTAGAGCACTGTTAACTTTCAGATACTGTTCCATCCAGTTGCATAGGTTTTACAAAATACTTCATGATTCATGAAGTCATTGATTAAGTGCTTGGAGAGACACGATATACGCCTAAGATATTCATGAGCCGTTTGCAATGATGTTACAGAAAACATTGAGGAGGTTCGAATAGATCGGCACATGGTTTCATGAAATGACTGGTCCTTAGTCAGTATTATTATACGGAATTAAAGAAGGATGAGATCAGACATTAGGATAGTAGGAATACAAATTGAAGGTGTTAAGAAATGTGAAGTGAAAAGGATATAATTGAGGTTATGACTTTATCTAAATGGTTGTTTTTGCTGATATTGTTCAAAAGTGTCACTATGCGGTAAGTTTCCAAACTAAGTTTTGTAGTCTCTGCATACTAAGTTAGTTTCTTTGATGATGTTTCGTTGTGTTCTAGGTCAAATAAAGTCATCTAATATTTAATTATACTGTGCCATAATTCCTAATTTTTACACTTTCATTAGTCTCTACAGGCATCTTCATCTGTTTGTTCGTTTACTGAGCGTCAAATTAATAGATAGTTCCTCTTAAAACCAATTCACTTAAGTAAGCTTTTATCAGAAGAAAATATTCTACAGATGCTTCTTAACTGTATCTTTCTTCTTCGAGGTCCAGAAACTTTAGTTACCGATACAAGCTTTTCATATTCTCAGTGTTTAGAGAGGTACATTCACATTTGCAGACTGATGGATGCAGTTAACAAGTTTTATACTTTTTCATCAATCTACTAGTTCTCTTTTAAATAAATTCCAGTGAGCTCTTGATGTTATGTTTTGAAATGATGGCATGACCCATCAGTAGGCAGTTAGCGGTGCGTATAAGAATATATAAATATATAAATATATATATATATATATATATATATATATATATATATATATATATATATACTTATGATTAGGCTGACTGACCAATTTCTTACTTTTTAAAAAGGAAAAATTTGTAAAGTCAGTCTCAGAAATTTCTAACTAAAACAGTGTTTTTGACTATGCTGCAAGAAATCCTTAGAAATGTGTTTAACAAATGTGCTTGTGTGTCTAACTTATCGGTCATTTAAAAATCATAAGTGAAGTCGATGAAATACTTGGATTTCAGCATGATTCGGACCGGCGGCTTTCAACCCTAGGCTCTTTTGACTGATCAATAAATTTAAACTGCTAATGATTTCTTGGTTTCACACTAATCATCCGATATTTTGCCCAGTTGTCATGTAAATTAGAGACAAATTGGACAGTTTCTTATCCCGCTAGCCGCTTGGTGGGAATCGAAATCAAGGCGGATTAGAGAAGGAAAGTGATCGATTGATTGAATATGAAGATCAATATGCTAACCAAAGTTATCTGATATGGTCTAATCAACCATCAGATTGTTCATAAAATCCCTTACCATATAAAATTTGAATAGAATGAGAACAGTTTTAGTATAATAATATATATACATTTTGTTTTGGTGTTTTTCACCAACTGCTTACAAAATAAAGCAATTTTAATGTCAACATCTTTGCATAACTGAATCAGTTCGCTGGAAAATTATCGATTTGAAGAAACGATAACATTGATGTTAACTAATCGAAGTCACGCGGACTGAGTGAATAGGTATATAAGAAATAATAATAAGGTTGTCTACATATTGGGAGACTCATGAGTACATTGGTCGTTTGCAATAGCCTTAAGCATACCTCTTATTTGTTTAGTCAACATGACAAAGAGGATTGAAATGGATTGAAATATGCGTAGAATGAAAAGTTCTACTTCCTTAATCTCGGGACTTAAAGAACCAAGGAGATTTATTCATCAAAAGGACTTATAGGATGGATTGTGTTTTCATTTCAACACTTTTGTGCGGTAAATTATCAGGAAGAGCTAGTGAAATAAGTTTTCGATCGCACAACGTAAGCTTGTTCGAAAGAGCAACTTGAAGAGTTGGTGACTATTGTCGGAATCGCCTTTATGATAGTAAATATCCACAAATGTTTGTTGAATAGTACTAGAAAATATAAACTGAAAGTGCGATGAAATTGAGAAGAAACCTTTGTTCCAAAATCTTGACTTCAAAGGTAACTATGTTTCTGAAAGAATTAATTCCAGAATGAGTACCTCCTTAAAAAGACAATCTATCCAGCTGCTAGGTTATTCTCATTTTACCAAAATAATTGCTCATTGAAACAATCTTAGGTTGATAAGTCCCCTTTTACGTTATCTACAATCGCGCATACTAATCCATATGTACATGAGAAAGCGTATGCATTAGGTAAACAGAGAGGGATTTGTGACCGCATATCTGAGCACATTCCAGGGAGTTTGCAACTGAGAGAAGTGAAAGTCTTCAACAATGTTATTACTCGTCAGCTTATTGGTGGTGGATATGAATTCGAAAATCATCAAAATGTGTGACTTAGCTTTCTATTTAGTGCTATTTTTACTAGTCTTATGGACATGAACTTGGGATTCATTGTATTATCATTCGTTTTCGTTTGAAATTCAATAATTAGACGCATCATGTAACCTCGGTGTTCGACATCATGGTCTCATCTAATTTTGAAAGGATTATAGATGAACTATAAAAGACAAACAAACAGTTATGGAAGACCTCTTGCCTTTAGCTGACTATTTGGTTTATGTCCACTTGGGATTAAAAAAATATTTCAAACTTATCAGAGACCATGAATCCATCGTTGATGGCTTTTTTGACCATTTTAATTTATACCTGGTAAAGAAATTTACTTTAAAAGACTTTTCAAACTTACATAATCACTAACAGTAAACTGCTAACACTTAATTTTTTTGCGTAAGACGTGTACATTTAGTAGTTCATGAGGTAGTGGGAAGAGGTACATAGTAACTTTGAATTGTTAAAGAAAATGTAGAACTCACATAATTGTCATTTTTATTAAATTGAACTATGAGCCTCGGAATGCATAGAACAATTCATCACACCTTTCAGGTCCAACATGTTGTTCCAGCTGAGTTCGATTCATTGTATAGAGATCCATTCCATTAAATCCTTTTAAGGCGGATATAACCCTAAAGTGGTTTAAAGTATGAAAAGCGTCGTGAAATATAAAAATTACTAGTGATGGAATTTTATTTTTGTCAATTTAAGAAAAAGCCCTAAGAAATGCTACAGGCTTCCTAGATAGAGTCAGTTAAGTAACTGAAATAAGTGCTTGTAGCATGTCAAAGTTGTTAAGCGAATTTGATCATACTGATGAAGATGCGCTTATACTTCAACTTTTATTCTAAATGGTAATATCATGTATTCATTCCCTTTATTTGATTTCACCATTAGTTTTCTATAGCCACTGATGTAAATACTTATTTCGCTTTTCGATTCTTATAATAATTTCTATCTGGATGTAATGGCATGAAATGTGACAAATTGGTGGTTATAATACATTCAGAGTTGTCAAATTCTGCCTGTATAGTTTCTCATTATTATTTGTCCCTTGGGTTCCTAGTAGAACACAAGGCTTCAGTAGCACGTCTCCATTCCACTCTCTTCTCTGCAGTCTTTTCAACCTGGGGCCACCACTACCCACAACCTTTCATTTCTTCCCCACACAATCTCCTCCATGTCACCCTCGCCTCGGACGCTCAACTCGTCGTTTCCCATGCGAGTTCCATTCGACGACCTGGCCTGATGCGTGATGTCCCCAGTCGGCCTTCTCACTGTATACCCAATCCATCTCCACTTTCTTCTACATTTTGTTGGGCGATAGGTTCTTGCTTCGTTGGTTCGTTGCCAACCAGAGTGAGTTCCTTGTTGCCTATTCTCATTATTCTGGCCATCTGATCTGATCTGATCTTCAGTGTCAGTGTCGAGTGAGCGTAGACGGCAGCTGTTGATGTTATTGATGTATGTGTGTAGTTTGTTGGAAATGCTTTTCGTGACGCGCCGTCAAGTTTCTCAACCATCACATAGAAGCACTGACTTCCTTGACTGAATTAGTCTTGAAAATCCGGATGTTGTTCACGCTTTATCCTGAGTGCAGTGGAGTAGATCTCCACACTGATTTCAGATTAATGAAAGCCTGTCTTGCTGTCTTTCCCATCCTGACTGCTTTGATGTCTTCATCTGTGCCTGTACCGACTGTAGTTGAAACGATGCTGCCTAGGCACGTAGGTGGAGACTACTTCATTCAGGTTTCTCCCGTTGATGGTGACTGCTGCTTGTTGCGGTTGTCGTTGTTGTTGGTAAAGTATCTTCATCACCTCCACCTCTGTCTTTTCTACATTCACTTGAAGTCCCGTCTCCCTTCGCTGCCTCACCTCTTCTGTCAACCTGTTAGTTTTCGCCTGTAGATCTTCGAGTTTGTGCGACAAGGCATTAGACATAAATCATCATCGTCATCATCATCGCCGGCGAAATCCAAATCTTCTTCTGGAGTCTTTTCATCGGTCCAGCCAGCGTATGCCACACTTCTCACAACTCCTCATGGTTTGATGCATGATCCAGTCGAGTCGACCACAATCAGGAAGATCATTGGTGATGACAGGCTGCATTCTTGCCTTACTCCTGTCCAAACATCAAAGGCGTCACTGAGCTTCCCATTGTGAATCACTTGGCATGTAGCTTCATCATATATCATATAGTTGTTGAATGAGATTGATAGAGGTTTGTGGCACTGAAACCGTGGTGTTGAAGCAGCTGTTTGTCAAATTACTTGTCGGTCGACGCTGTCGAAGGCCTTTTCAAAGTCGATGAAGTCGAAGTAAGGTAGAGTTGAGTTTACTGCCATTCTATACTCTGTTCTATGATGATGCGTGGTGTAGCGTTGCAATTTGATCCACACATGATTTGTTCCTCCTGAAGCCAGCCAGCCTGTTCCGGTCGTACTTTTGAATCCAGCTCATCCTTCAGTCTCTCCAGAATGATGCGGCACAATACTTTGCATGGGGTGGACAATGGTGGAGCATGATTCCTCACCAGTTCTTACAAAGACTTATGTCGCCCTTCTTTGGGAGTTTGATCAGGTAGCCCTTCTTCCAATCAACCAGCAGGTACCTTTCTCTCCTCCCTTCCTTCAAAACCTTCTACAGTAGTGGTGTGAGCATGTCCCCTGTTGTCTCTGCGTCTGTTTACAGTGCTTCTAGTGGAATTCCATCTGGTCCTCCTGGTTTCCCGGACTCCAGCAACTTTATGGCGTGGCTTTCAGGACTTCACTTCTGCTTTGTCGGAGGGCTTGTGTTCACTGGTAGTTGTGTGACTCGGCTGCTTGTGGTATTTCTGGAGGAGTTGCAGGTGGTGGTGGTGGTGGTGGTCGATTCAAGAGTTTTTGAAGTGGTCAGCCATCCCATCGTTTCCCTTGTTCCTCCTCTTCGGTAAATAGCTTTCCTTCAATATCTTTCATTAGTGTCATCTGTGTTGATCTCTCCCCTCCCAGATAGTAACCTGGTTATTTGATGTAGTGTTGTCAGGTTTCTCCTACCTGCAGCCTGTGTGTCTTTTGTCCTTCCGCGCAATCTTCGTCACTTCTTTCTCCAGTGTAGTGTTTTATGGCTGGTGTTCAGTTCTTCTTTTCGTTGTTCATCCTTGCACTGCACGGCACTAGTTCATCTTCTGCTTCACCATCTTCCTCTCTCTCCTCTATCAGCTTCTATGTGTCCGTCGAGATCCATTCCTTGTCCTGTCTTCTTTCTTCTTCCTCCGTAATACGGTTATGCATGTTTCCTTCCACATCTGCTTCACAGATTTCAACTATTCTTCCACTCAGCTCCCTTCAGGGATGCTCCTATGTGTCTCGCATTTTGTCCTGATAACTGGCTGACGTGAAGATGTTCTCCGTAATTTCGTCCTTCAGTTCGGTTTCTGTTCTGCGTGTTGAGATGGAAATGTGGTCGGTCTATCACCAGTTTCTTCTGTCAAGGCTTCCAACTTGATTTTCAAGGTAGGTTCCTTGCACTAGACAATGAGTGGTGTGAACCTACATCTGCTCCTCTTCTTCATCTTGTCTCCAGTAGGCTGGTTGCGTCTCCATCTCCACTTTCTTCACATTGAGATGAAGTCGACCTGATTCTTGTGTAGTGTGTGTAGTGTGTCCTGGTATCTGGTGAAATCAAATCCATGTCACTTTGTGAACATCCTTGTGTTTGAACACACTCCCCTGCTTGAAAACAGTGCCTGCCTCCAATCACCAAATCGTTGAATGCTCAGAAGTTTGCAAATACTTCTCCATTCTTGTTCTTCATTTCACTGAGTGCTTCTCAACCCATGATCAGTTCTCTTCGTGTGTTGTCCACTCCCAGTTTCGCATTCATATCACTCATTAGAATTTCGATGTCGCCAACTGGGTGGGGTCTTGTCCAGTTTGATTGCAGTTGTGTGTAAAATTCCTCCTTCTTCTCTTCATCTGCATTATTTGTAGGTGTGTAGTGTAGCATTGTATGCTTGTGACTTTCCTTCCTTTTGAGTTGAATCTTGCTGTCATGATACTGATCCTGATCGTGTTCCTGATCGTGATGGTGATGTTGGAGGAGATTGGTTCCCACTGCATGAGAGACTTTGACAGTCTTAGCGACATCATGGTTGCCACTCGAAAAGTCAGTGTGCTCTTCTCGTGGTTGTCTTCTGGGTGAGAATATCCGAGTAGATTATTGACTCCTCTCCAGTTGACAGTTTGGAGAGTCCACTTCCATTCCATCTACTTTCGCAAATTCCTAGCACTTCAGTGCGATACCTTCTCATCTCGTTTGCAATCTGGGCTGCCTTGCTCGGTTCACACATGGTGTGGACATTCCATGTGCCCACGTTTACTTTCGCTTTGATCGAGAGAAGTGAAGACACATCGGTTGACTGGCTTCCCGAAGGCTTTCACCAACGGGCATCACTTCATCTCCCTGACTGCAGTGAGGAATAAGTTAATTTTTATTTTCTATGTTTTCTTTGTGGTTTGAAATTTGTTTAGTGATTGGATTGGTTTTCTGGGGTAGGGTTGGTAGCCTTATGGATAAACCTCCCTCTTTATGTTGGCTTATGACCGGCTAGTAAGTAGTGAACTAGTTTACCAGGTGAGGTTATCGTGATAAATATGAAACGTGGTATAAATGCCAGGATAGATTTAAGTTGCCAGTGTTTCTGTTCCACTGTGACCAATTCCTAACTGAGTGACATTGAGTTTTCACCTATCGGTTTTGTTTGTCGTGAACACCTCGACCTGGGAGTTGACAATTTCTTTACATGGCTCAGGCTAACAGTAAGAGGCTTTACAGTCTGATACTACATATTTTTCTGAGATCGCATAGCTTTTCTTTGACTGAACTTCAGCTTACAGTTCTTTTTATTAGTTGGTGGTTGTTTGTGTGTAACACATCCCACTAACCTTACTCGACGAAGATTTACAGCCTCATAGACTGAAATAGCTCTTTTACTTCAGTTGACACGAAGATAATGGCTGTTGAACACGCAGAGCTTTTAATGTCTTCCTACTTTCATGGCCACGTTTCACAGAGATATTGAAAGTCGAAACAAATCGTTATGCAGTACATAATGACCTTTTTTGGGCATCTGAATTTTTATTGGTGTCATAAGAGGGGTAAATTGGAAAAAAATCAATCGAGTCACTTACATCCGTACTGAGATTTCATAGGCCACTTACCCAGTAGACCCGATTCAACTTCGTAAGTAAACGAAGTGGTCAACCACTATTCTTACCATTCTCGGAAGTTGTATTAACTCCGGCCAGTTAAGAAACCGCAATTTTTATTTGGAAGGTGGGAAAGGCATTTCAAACTTTCACTAATTGTCGCCCGACTTTTTCGAAAAACACTACATTTTTTCATTACCTTCATCTAAGGGGACGATGTTGTCTCGGCGTCTATGGTGGACTAAGGAGTTTTGAACCAAGAAATCGATCTTTATGAAGTCAAAAGATCAGAGGCACACCTCAGTCGGTGGATCTTTGACAAAGCTAAATGAAAGTGGAGGGAGTGGACATCCTTGACATGGGCCACTTTACATAAACAACTCATCTGACAGCTCACAACAGTCTTTTATACCACCATAAATGTTTGAGTATGGAACTTTCAGTAAAGTAATTAACTTCTTGGGCACTCATTTTATCGGGAAACACTAATTTAAAATCTGTGAACCAACGGAGTTGGATGTCTCCTTCAGTTCAAGCAGTAGAACCAGTGTCGGATGCTGGTAAGTATAGTTATACTTCAAGACCCGACAAAGAGTGAAGAACTAGTCGACAAACTCATGACCAGGTCTGAAACCAGCTGGCTTCCCCAGGTGTGTTGTCCCCGAGCTTCAAGTAGCTGATTATAGAGCCTGGAATCCTAGACACAGTGTTTGGCAGACAATTTTCCTTGAGGTCATCAGAAGTAGGTATTTCTCTCTTCTTAAAGACTGGAACAATCATCAAATAGGAATATTCACAGAAGATTATATTGCCTTCCAATGCGCTAGCTGAAACTTCATTAGGTCTAATCAATAATCCTCAGCCACGGCACTTGAGTACTCCTGACCATAGTCTGATAGGTTCCGCCACTCTTCTTCGTTTCAGGTTGCTTGCAGACTTCCCAATCTCTTCACTCAGGCTCCAGTCAGATAGAAGGCGACTAGAGGGTAGTTGTAGGTTATCTAGGCTGTTCTTCGAAATCCTTTACCTATCGTTCTGGACATCTTAATTGGAAGTGGATCGCAGATTCACCTTCCTCCTCCATAGCCCCACTAAACAACTACTTTTTAAATCTCGATTTCCTCGATAAGTTTAAATAATTGTCTATTATCACCTGCAATCACTGCCTTTTCCATCTCTTTAGCCGTCACTGCGCACCACTACTCATGGTAATTGCGTAAACTTGTCGGGTGAGACCTAATTTACTTCCGCTCCTTACTGTGGTTGAAGGCTGCAGAAATTTATCCAAATCCATCCATTAATCCAGGTGAAACTTCTGGGATCCTGACTCTTTCTTTCCTTCATCTAGCGTAATTTACGGTCTGCACCGCTACTTTTAAAGTATACTGCAACTGCCACCGGATGTTCTCAGATGACTGATACCGTTATATCCTACTGGTTATCTAACCAGTCCTTTAAAGGTATTCTTCACGTGTTCATCATCACTTTGGGCTCAGAAAAGTTTCCCAACTGTACTCAATCAAGTGAATCAAAAGCGTGATGCTGCATATTCTGTGCTTGAAAATCGACTGTGATTTCTATATATGTGAATAATATACGCTGTGACAAAAAGTTGTTTGGTCTAGATTACCTTGCCGGATACGTATCTGTATATATCCAGAATGCTTATGTAAATAAAAACGATCGCGAACGAGATAAGTTAAGCATCAGTGTGAACGTCTGTGAAGTAGGTAAGTCATACCTAATATATGAGCACCAATAGTACTACCTGACTGCCCGTATGTCGTTAGGTGGAGCTGGGTTCAAAACTGTTGTTCACTGTTTGAGAGATGGATCCTTAAGCTAAAAAGCCATAGTTTGTTCCTGTGTAAATAATTATGGTCTTTCCCATAGAGTGTAGTATTTATCATAACTGGTTTAACACAAGGGAAAGACAATGCTAATACTTCCTGTCGATGAATTCCAACTCACTGACATAAACTGATGAAGATATTCAATAAATCTTCCCAGCGATTGTATGCCATTAGGATAGCCAAACAACTCAGAAATACCTACACCGGTTACCATTAAGTATTTCTTCCCAGACGATGTTTTTTACTAGCTCATGGTTGGCCTTATCAGAGGTATATGCGAACACTTTCTGCTGGTGACCTCATTTACACTAGATTTGGAGAATTCAGTATCCAGGTTATTTTCAGGCAAACAGTTTTGCAGTTTGTAAATGAATTATTCTTTCGATATGGAATTATCAAAAACTAAGTTCACTTCTTATGGTCTGGTTACTTACCTTGGCGAAAATTGATGAGCTACTAACCATTCAGCAACTTCTTTCTCTGATGCGCATTTAGACAACCTTTGATCTGGTTTATCAAGCGTTGTTGTAGGTATAGGGACTGATTTAAGGCCAGTTCCTCCACCAAGCTGCATTTTGGACAGTCTTTCTCTAAGTTCTCTTGTCATAGTATGCATATGAGTGGCTAAAGCAAATAAAAATGTGAATGGATTTGTATAATAAGAGTAATAAGGTATTATTGAGGGTACACCACATCGCCGTTCAGTATTAAAACACTTACAGCTATAAGTTAAATAGGTGCTTTTTCATTAGTTTATGTTAAGTTTGGCATGGAGTTAATTCGCAAAATAGAACACTATTCAAAATTAGTTAGATTAGTATTGGTGTCAGGAAATGAATTTAATTCTTGGATTTCTGTTTTTATAATATTACAATGAATACTTTTAGTGCTGGGTGATGTTTGGTGAGATTCTTATTGATTAAGGCTTCATTATTAGGATAGATATAAACCTTAGTGCGAAAATTCCATCGGTAATGAACATATATACCTATGGTGCAACATTAGTAAACATATTCACTGGAAAACATCAGAAATCCAACTGATAGACTGAAAAAAATAATTCTTAATGTTTGATACCTAATTACTACTGCTGTCAAGTGAATAGTACCTTCTCATCTTGAGAATAGTCATCCCCTGCACTAAGTACGAATCTTTTCAGCACAAAACGGTTAATAGTCAGCATAGTGAGTTTCAACATTAACTTCGTAGTTTATATTTAATTTGAGAGTATAAACAATCAAAGTTGGGGAGCCTTTTTCTTAAGGAACTTTTTTAATAGTTGCTATGATGATTATTCAGCAAATGCACATCTCTTTAAGTTGATGAAAGTTTTACGAATTTATTCATATCTTAATGCTTATTTTCCAAGTTCACTGAACGTCACCTGGAATTAGGTTTACCTCGGAGAATAGATGATCCTTTATTTCAGGGTGTGACAGCAGTTACCTTATAGAAAATTCACTAAAATAATAATGATAAAACAAAATTTTCTGCATTCCATTTTCCTGGAACCAACGCAGACAACTATCAAAAAACAAATACCACGAGACTTCATGACTAAAAGTATGGATTTCTTGAAATTAATGACACCTGTTTTTAATGTATCGATAGGCATGCAAATTGAGTTTACAGCCTCCTACCGTTTCTCTTTAACTATATCAAGTTCGAATATTTTTTTCTAAATTTATTCTTTGTTCTCTGTGAAATACGAAAATGTGTTATGAAAGATATACGTGTAAGAGGGTGTTCAATCTACAAATAAGATGACTGAATAGTGGGTTGTTGCTAGTTATTCATTCCTTTGCTTGATGGTATGCAAGAGAAATGATAAGTATGTTAATATTGTTTAAACCATTATAAGAATTATTCTAACCTAATTAATTGATAAACTAGACAAATATAAAAGCTGACAAAATCGAAGTATATAAGTGTCCTTTATTGAATGAAATTCACAAGTGTGCATTTCAACGAAATATTATTAACATTATATTGGTAACTCAATTTTGTAAGTATTTCCTTTTTTTTCTGTTATTGAGTTTATTAATGTAGTCATCTGTCTACATATATTTTAAAATCGTAATCTGAAAGTTGAAGAGAAATACATTCATCATTTATCAACGAAAACTAGCGGTTTGGACAAAGCATGAAGGACGAATTTTGAAGAATATAATGATATCATGTTATTTTATTAATACTCAGCTGTATACAGTCTAATATTAAAATGGTCATTAGAACATTAGATATTTCAGAATTAGGAAATCAATAATCTTAGGCTGTACAACAAAATCACTGATAGTAGTATATACAATATGTAAGAGAAATAACTGTACAGAAGGGTAAGAAATGTAAGAAAGGAAAAAATAAATAAATAAATAGAGTTATGCTATTAAGATGAAATAGTCTCAGATTATAGTCACCGAGAGAGTGAGAAACTAATCAGGTTCAGCTCAAAACGTTTTATAGTAGTCGCTTCCACAAAGCGTAGTGATCTATACATTTTCTGTACTTTTATTATTCCAGAGGAACTTGAGGTTTCAAACTGATGCCTTGTGTCTTCGGGGTATCTGGCAGTTCTACTAGTTAGAATTTTACTTCCTTTCAAGCTCAGCGAACTCAGCGTTTGCTTTCCTCTCATTCTTCTCAATATACTTGCTACTGCAAGTGCATGTGAATCCAGAATGCAAGGTAACTATCCAATAGAGACTGTTTCAGTGAGCATGCGGTATTGTATACTGACACAAGTTTTGCTACAGGACAGCTGCTTCTCAGTACTCCTTTGGTTCTCACGTATATTTTCTTAGATACTTCCTTGAATGTAAGGTGAATAAAAATCTTTCCGGCAGTTGGATATTTATTTCTCTTACTCTCTTATTTGCCATACTTCTTTATAAATCTCTTAGGATATCCATCCTCTCGGAGACACTTTTCAGTAATGTTTGATTCTTCCTCAAACTTGTTCATAGAACACGATTTCCCAGGTCTGCTGTAAAGTGTTTTAACTAGCCAAGGCTTTTAGCTGACTGGATAGAAACTGTTATAGTTAAGGCACTGTCTAGTCCATGTATCTTTTCCATATGCAGTATTTTCGATCGTACCATCAGTTGTTCTCACACTGAGGTCCAAAAACGGAGCTCTTTGTCATACTCATATTCTGTCGTAGATTTAATGTTGAGATGAACGCCGTTGAGCTTATCAAACAACTCAGTTGCATTTTTCATACGACTGCTAGCAACCACGGTGTCGTCAGTTATCTGCGATAACAGATTGTTTCTTTGATGACTGAACTCACACGTGTTTCTTCGGGATAGCCAGTGAAGATATCTACCAACGGCAACGGCAGCAGATTATATCAATCGTTTGTAAATAAGGTAGTTATATCTTATGACAACATGAGGTTGTATGAAACGTCGACATGATCTATTATATGAGAAAGTTCAAATGTATCTTTTAAACTATGGATTGCCGACTTACTCCAGATAGGCTGTAACCATTTCGCTAACCATTTCCCCAGCTTGTCCCAGAGCGAATTAATCATTGACTTTATAGTTCTCGAAGGCATATTTGATTTATGAATTTTGCGCAAATCTTACGTGAACCATTTTGGTTTGAGTTCATTACATGTTGTACTGTGAATCAACTTCTTCTTTAGAAGGTCTACAAAATGCTTACTTACTTTGTTTTTAAGTACTAAAGCAACAGTTTCCGCTACTATGCAGCTGGAGTCCTACCATATTCACATAATGATTTTTGTTCATTATGAAAAAAATAGACCCTGTGTCGCATCTGAACATAACGATATCTGCGTTTACGTCCAGTTAGCACGGTGATAATTCGTGCTCTTTGGTAAATATTTTTGACTACCCAGATTGTGATATATAGTACTGGTCAGGTATGTCAACCAACTTAGACTTCAGTCAACCTCTTTTATCTTCTTCTTCATCTGTAGATTTTAAATCTGAGAGTTGGTCGTATATGTTTTCAAATAGTGTCTCTGTGTCTACTCAACTGACGCGCTTCACTGGAATGTGACGCTTCAATCCAAGAGACAGAACTTCAGTGTCAACTTGACCCAAAGTAATTTTTGATAAATGCCATGTATACTTCCCAAGGTTTTCAGGGAAATCTTCACATATCTCTTCTTTGACTAATGATTCCACCAGTTTACTCTTATAATCTTTCAAAGTTTTCGATTGAATTTCCAAATGACAGAGCGGTAATCCCTCATGACATGTTCGATAATGCTAAAATGAAGAGTTATAATGTATTTGCAAGTCTTTTGTCAGTTTTGGTTTACTCTCAGTTCAATAATTTTCGCATGAAAGGTGATTGTTTTGTAGAGGATGAAAGACTTTAGAGAAACAAACTCCTATATCTCTTCTGACTTATGCATGACATACTTAAATCTACGGAAGGCGTTTTGTGGAAAACCCAATTATTTGGAGTATTGCTAATAATAATTTCAAATGGTTGTGTAATAAATCGCTTGATGTTTCGCCTTTAATATAATTTCTGGACTATTATTCAGCTTTGTTTATAGGACTATCTTCAGTTTTCCTCTGATATTTTTATATCATTAATATCATTACATGTCTTTGCTCACAGTGCAGTTAAATTCTAGTGAACTCCAATATGTCGCTACACTTTTACATGAAATTACATAGGATTTTGAGCAAAAAGGAGTGGATACAGATACATACGGTATTCGATAATTGGGATAAGGATGCTGAATTATCACGTCAACAGACAACCTGAGTGCTGTGAAGACGAAATTCAAAAAAGCTTATAAAATGCCTAAAAAGTATTCATTGTTAGTTATCGTCAGCCATCAATTATAAAACATTGTTTACAAAACTGAGTAATAGAGGAAGATATAGTTACCTAGATAGGTGCTCAAAAATATTCAGATCTCTGACTTCTAATTTAGTAGAAAACACAATGAACCCACTTGTTACTCAAGATCAGGAAGCCACAGCATTATACACTTTTTAACTTGCGGTTCAGCCTAGGGTTTCAGAATTCAACGATTGTATCCGTTATCTATATTCAGTTCCCTATTCATGATGTATATTTCAACTACCTATATAGTCTACAAGGTTAGATCATAAAAATTCTACTAAAAGGGTTTGTACAAAATATTAGTTCAGTAGGTTTCAGTTTATCGTAATTTATCAATCAGTGTTATTTATTCGGATTAATCAAGCGCTTTCTACCACCAAGAAAATGGTTTTGTAATCTTTTTAACGTACAGGGATAGCTAGAGTAAGCAATTTGTTGAGAGTTAAAATAATGCACAGTGAACTTATATTACAAAGCAGGCGTATTTTAAGCACATGGCACAATTAAGATAACTTTGTTAGGGAAGATTAACAAAATGGTTGAAAAGACAATGTGACCAAGATAAAATTAGTAACAATTAAGATTAGTTCAACTCTATGAAATATTTGGAACTTACGATAATTAAAGGGATATGGAGAGTAACCCAAGGCTATCACAAACAAATGCACACATACAGATTTATACAGAGAAATAAAATCATACCGAAATCCTATATACAATTCAAAATTAAAATATATACAAGGAATTTTAGCTTCTTATTACTTATTTCTGAGTATCTTGATGGGAATAAACTTAAACACCAGGTGAATGTGCTCTGATAAATAGTACTATGTTCAAACTACGCTACACATGGATTAATATGTCACATTCACTAAGATAGAGCAAAATAGCTGAATGTTAATAGAACTCTATAGCAACGCCAATTTTGTTTGCCTGGTAGGAACAAGAATACAAAAAGAGTGTACCATGCAAGACAAGTAGAGCCTTTTGCCTTTATGAGACAGAAGATGCTTTGAAACCCATTTAAAATATGGAATGAAGAACATTTCAAGAGTTATCAAGTAATTACCTCTCAGGACTGAAAAATAAATAAGGAGCATAAAGGGAGTCAGTGCTGTATGCCATCTAGTGGTGTGCTGAAGTTCTAACTTTTTCACTGATTTGAGCAAAATGTTTTAGCGCCTTAAGGATTCGAGTTTTAAACATTTTTCGTCACATAATGAAGTAATGATTTAATAGCATAATTTATTCTTTTTCTACTAACACTTTGACGATATTAACATCACAGTAGAGATTCTTAATGAGGCGATAATGTATTATTTCTTTATTAGTACCGTTATTTCGTGGCATTTACGGCCTGGCTCATACAGCACTTGGTGTTTTGTAGAGAATATTCATCTCAACACGCAATTTCTGCCATTACGCACGAATAAAAACGTGTAAATAACATCTGTATTTTACTATACTAGGTAATTTCGAGTTGCAGTTAGTTCATAATATATTCAAGAAGAACATATATCCCCCTAGTGTTATTGCTTGTACTACACCGACGTTGATTGGACCGAATTGATCAGTCTCTGTTGGCATATGGGCTCCTATGCGGATGCCTCGATATTGCCTGTCTTTTAACTGTGTTCAGTAATGATGGGCAGTGGCTAGCAGTAGAATCCAGGATGCGCATTTCGTCCTATTTGGGACTCGTCAGCTGGATGTACCTGCTTCCCAGTGAGTGATGTTGTTCCCACCGGGAATCAGATTCCGGAGGGATCGCTTCAAACGCCAGCGCATTATCCACTACACCACCGAACCATGATAGCCACTTCTTGTGTGACGGGTATAGGTTTAGTGTTATTGCTTGTATTACCCCCTAATTTGGAATGACACGGTAGCTACCACCACTCAAAATTTCCCATGAAAATGTCTGCAGGATTTTGTAACCTCAGCTTATATCCTTTTGTGATATTGTTTTCTACAGTTCTTAGGCTGATCAGTAATTAAAATTCCCGTCACCATAAGTTTGAATAGTTCTATATGACTCTAGTTTACTAGCCAGTCACAAGCAACATAAAGAGGGAGGTTTGGCCATACGGATACCAACCCTACCCCGGAAAACCAATCCAATCACTAAACAAATTTCAAACCACAAAGAAAACATAGAAAATAAAAATTAACTTATTCCTCACTGCAGTCAGGGAGATGAAGTGATGCCCGTTGGTGAAAGCCTCCGGGAAGCCAGTCGACCGATGTGTCTTCACTTCTCTCGATCAAAGCGAAAGTAAACGTGGGCACATGGAATGTCCACACCATGTGTGAACCTAGCTGGCAAGGCTGCCCACATTTCAAAAGAGATGAGGAGGTATAGCATGCAAGTGCTTGGAATCTGCGAGGAATCTGCAGATGGAATGGAAGTGGACTCTCCAAACTGTCAACTGGAGAGGAGTCAATAATCTACTCGGATATTCTCACCCAGAAGACAACCACGAGAAGAGCACACTGACTTTTCGAGTGGCAACCATGATGTCGCTAAGACTGTCAAAGTCTCTCATGCAGTGGGAACCAATCTCCTCCAACATCACCATCACGATCACGATCAAGATCAGTATCATGACAGCAAGATTCAACTCAAAAGGAGGAAAGTCACAAGCATACAATGCTACACTACACACCTACAAGTAATGCAGATGAAGAGAAGAAGGAGGAATTCTACACACAACTGCAATCAACACTGGACAAGACCCCACCCAGTTGGCGACATCGAAATTCTAATGAGTGATATGAATGCGAAACTGGGAGTGGACAACACACGAAGAGAACTGATCATGGGTTGAGAAGCACTCAGTGAAATGAAGAACAAGAATGGAGAAGTATTTGCAGACTTCTGAGCATTCAACGATTTGGTGATTGGAGGCAGGCACTGTTTTCAAGCAGGGGAGTGTGTACAAACAGAAGGATGTTCACAAAGTGACATGGATTTGTTTCACCAGATACCAGGACACACTACACACACTACACAAGAATCAGGTCGACTTCATCTCAATGTGAAGAAAGTGGAGATGGAGACGCAACCAGCCTACTGGAGACAAGATGAAGAAGAGGAGCAGATGTAGGTTCACACCACTCATTGTCTAGTGCAAGGAACCTACCTTGAAAATCAAGTTGGAAGCCTTGACAGAAGAAGCTGGAGCTGGAACTTTCTGAAAGAGATGTGGACGGCACCCTACATAAGCGTATTCCGGAGGAAGAAGAAAGAAGACAGGACAAGGAATGGATCTCGACGGACACATAGAAGCTGATAGAGGAGAGAGAGGAAGATGGTGAAGCAGAAGATGAACCGGTGCCGTGCAGTGCAAGGATGAACAACGAAAAGAAGAACTGAACACCAGCCATAAAACACTACACTGGAGAAAGAAGTGACGAAGATTGCGCGGAAGGACAAAAGACACACAGGCTGCAGGTAGGAGAAACCTGACAACACTACATCAAATAACCAGGTTACTATCTGGGAGGGGAGAGATCAACGCAGATGACACTAATGAAAGATATTGAAGGAAAGCTATTTACCGAAGAGGAGGAACAAGGGAAACGATGGGATGGCTGACCACTTCAAAAACTCTTGAATCGACCACCACCACCACCACCACCTGCAACTCCTCCAGAAATACCACAAGCAGCCGAGTCACACAACTACCAGTGAACACAAGCCCTCCGACAAAGCAGAAGTGAAGTCCTGAAAGCCACGCCATAAAGTTGCTGGAGTCCGGGAAACCAGGAGGACCAGATGGAATTCCACTAGAAGCACTGTAAACAGACGCAGAGACAACAGGGGACATGCTCACACCACTACTGTAGAAGGTTTTGAAGGAAGGGAGGAGAGAAAGGTACCTGCTGGTTGATTGGAAGAAGGGCTACCTGATCAAACTCCCAAAGAAGGGCGACATAAGTCTTTGTAAGAACTGGTGAGGAATCATGCTCCACCATTGTCCACCCCATGCAAAGTATTGTGCCGCATCATTCTGGAGAGACTGAAGGATGAGCTGGATTCAAAAGTACGACCGGAACAGGCTGGCTGGCTTCAGGAGGAACAAATCATGTGTGGATCAAATTGCAACGCTACACCACGCATCATCATAGAACAGAGTATAGAATGGCAGTAAACTCAACTCTACCTTACTTCGACTTCATCGACTTTGAAAAGGCCTTCGACAGCGTCGACCGACAAGTAATTTGACAAACAGCTGCTTCAACACCACGGTTTCAGTGCCACAAACCTCTATCAATCTCATTCAACAACTATATGATATATGATGAAGCTACATGCCAAGTGATTCACAATGGGAAGCTCAGTGACGCCTTTGATGTTTGGACAGGAGTAAGGCAAGAATGCAGCCTGTCATCACCAATGATCTTCCTGATTGTGGTCGACTCGACTGGATCATGCATCAAACTATGAGGAGTTGTGAGAAGTGTGGCATACGCTGGCTGGACCGATGAAAAGACTCCAGAAGAAGATTTGGATTTCGCCGGCGATGATGTTGATGATTTATGTCTAATGCCTTGTCGCACAAACTCGAAGATCTACAGGCGAAAACTAACAGGTTGACAGAAGAGGTGAGGCAGCGAAGGGAGACGGGACTTCAAGTGAATGTAGAAAAGACAGAGGTGGAGGTGATGAAGATACTTTACCAACGACAACGACAACCGCAACAAGCGGCGATCACCATCAACGGGAGAAACCTGAATGAAGTAGTCTCCACCTACGTGCCTAGGCAGCATCGTTTCAACTACAGTCGGTACAGGCACAGATGAAGACATCAAAGCAGTCAGGATGGGAAAGACAGCAAGACAGGCTTTCATTAATCTGAAATCAGTGTGGAGATCTACTCCACTGCACTCAGGATAAAGCGTGAACAACATCCGGATTTTCAAGACTAATTCAGTCAAGGAAGTCAGTGCTTCTATGTGATGGTTGAGAAACTTGACGGCGCGTCACGAAAAGCATTTCCAACAAACTACACACATACATCAATAACATCAACAGCTGCCGTCTACGCTCACTCGACACTGACACTGAAGATCAGATCAGATCAGATGGCCAGAATAATGAGAATAGGCAACAAGGAACTCACTCTGGTTGGCAACGAACCAACGAAGCAAGAACCTATCGCCCAACAAAATGTAGAAGAAAGTGGAGATGGATTGGGTATACAGTGAGAAGGCCGACTGGGGACATCACGCATCAGGCCAGGTCGTCGAATGGAACTCGCATGGGAAACGACGAGTTGAGCGTCCGAGGCGAGGGTGACATGGAGGAGATTGTGTGGGGAAGAAATGAAAGGTTGTGGGTAGTGGTGGCTTCAGGTTGAAAAGACTGCAGAGAAGAGAGTGGAATGGAGACGTGCTACTGAAGCCTTGTGTTCTCCTAGGATAGCATGGAAAAGTAATGAGAATAAGAATAATGGACATATCTTGAATTATGAACTTACGCTATTCTGCAGATATGTGAATCCTTTAGAAATTTTGTTAGAAACGCGCGAATGTGCTGTGATATGGGGAATCATGTGCACTAAGATTGCATTTCATATCTATGTACATTGCATTCCCGCACGTAAATTAAGTAGTGAGAAATGGAATCATATTCAAATGAATGGAATATTATATTGAAGGAAAGATAGTTGATAATTAAATCAAAGTTAATAGATACTTGGAAAGGAATTGAAAACGTCAAGGGATTGAAAAAATATTTAATTTAACGGACAACTTAAAATTTTTCAGATTTTGGTAAAATGTATGAAAAGTTCATCAGCCACATGGTGGATAATTTTTGCCTACATTACCTGGGTCAGTATATTGTTAGTCAAAGTGGAGAGGCCTAAATGTTCTTAGATATTACACGTCAGTAATGGAAGTGTTTGTAGATTTCTTATAAATTAGGACCGACAGAAAGACAAGGAAACATGTGTTACTGTACGGTTTAAGCCTAATATGATTTTTCATTCAGCTACACAGTCAATAAAACGTGTGTACCGTTAAAACTTCTGGTTAGCTTCTGTCATGCAAAACTGAAACAGTTCAAAGAACTATCTACTAGTTAAGAAAGAACTACTGCATGGTGCTACTCTAAATACACCGCTAAAATACAGATACGGTTACTGAGTTAGTTAGGTAAGGAACTAATTGTCAATGCACGTATATAAACTAACCTTCCGCTTTATTTTGTTGACGAAGAAATCATACAATCACGGTTGATTTGAGGAGAGAAAAAGTAAACACGAGAAGAAAAATTAATATTGAAAAGATGCTATTCAAGGGTTAATGAAGTGTGAACATAGAAAATAATTCAGTTTTGGGCCATACTTTAACAAATACTCAACAGAAACATATGAGTTTATTTAAATGACTGACCAGTGTCCCCTAATCCGTGGTTTAGAGAGTATACTTCCAAGCAGTGGGTCATACTTTTGAACCCTTTTGCATCTACCGAGGTTTGGGCAGTCAGAGGGTATCATTAACCCTCACACAATAGGTTTGGCTCGTTGCCTTATCCATGAATGTGCATAAGGTAGCAGAATGCACTTCGTTCATATAATAAACTGTGAGATACAGCCTCTATTTGAAGGTTGAAAATACTAACCAACTACTTCATTGAAAGCATGTGGTATGGATGTAGGTCAATAACACAGGCGTAAATTTAATATTTTAGGAAAATCAAGGGATTAAACAGACTAATGTCTAATGATCATTTAGGTATTGTTACGTGTTCGTCCACATATACCAACACTTTGTATGCTTAGTTTTTATTCTCCTTGGAAAGTAATAAGCCGAATGTACTGTTTTCTACAAATTGAAAAATTTGTATTAGGATATAAAAGTAAATGCTAATTAGTTTTTACGTCAGCAGCATTCACTCAGAAGCTATTCAACTTAAGTTTAAATTAAATTTATTTTCTTTACGAGAAGAACCGATCCTAAGAGTAATACGGAAATAAATATATGCAGATGTTTTTTCTTTTACTTTCTGAATTAACATTCAAAAATACTCACATTCTGTGTTCAATCAGTTATATAACCAGAACTTCATATTGACTCATGAATCACGATTCTCAAAATCGTATTACCTCTTTCATATTTAAAGAGGACTGTTTGACTATCCGAAATAGTGTTCCATATGAATAATTAGTGTTGACCACAAGTATGCAGTTAGGACGAGCAGGATATTCGAACTTAATATCGAGTAGGCTAATTTTAATGAATAGCTTAGTAGAGTTAATGCAACCCAGTTTTAACATTCACTGTTAGTGGTAAGTAGTTGCTTTAGAAGGTTACTCTACTTTTACCCATACTAATCGGAAATACATTAGGATAATCTGTAACATACTAATTATTGTTTTGGTCCCTAAATTACTCTACAAAATTAGATTTTTATCCAAGCCAGGGAGAATAAGAGTTTCAATCCTTAGAAAATAAGACGAGAAATGATTTCACAAATGATAAAATTTTCTAAGCAGTTTTCAGAACCCGAAATAATAGACTAACACATAAATTTAGACTAAAATGTTCAAGTGTTATTGTTTGTATTACCCTACACCCGTCGCACGAGAAGTGGCTATCGTGGCTCGGTGGTGTAGTGGATCACGCTCTGGCGTTTCAAGCGGTCGCTCCCGAGTCTGAGTCCCGGTGGGGACAACACCACTCACTATGTCAGCAGGTACATCCAGCTGACGAGTCCCAAATAGGACGAAGTGCTCATCCTGGATTCCACTGCCCATCATTATTATAAAATGTTCAAGTTTGATCTTTCAGAAATAAAGCGACACAAATTGATGGCTTGTCGATAAATTCTAGAACACGAAAGCTACCCTTCGTTTGCTGTAGTTCTAAAATAAAATACTTCTGCAAATATTGTTTTCAAAAACAAATTTGATCATTTTGTATGAGAAGATAACTTAAGTTTCTATTGCTTCATTTTTTTCCATAACCCAAAGATCTCTTTCTGTAAAACCTGTATAAATCCAATTTTTCCGTCTAGATAAGAAATTTTATACTTTGATGTTAAGTAAGCTGTTGATAAAAATGTGCTTAGCAACAAAATAATAATAAATACTTTACACAGAATAGGCATAAAGGAATGCTTACTTGCTGAAGTGCTCAATATAGGAGCTGGTTTCCAACCTGGTCCTAAAACACCAGGATTAGGAATTCTTGCTGATTCAGCACCATTTGTATTTGGGTTAATTAAATGAGACCAGTTAATTGCTGACATATCAGCATTACTATTATTGTATAGATTCGATACGGGTATTAGTATCATTGGTACATTACTGTTGATTTTTATTGCTTCCTGAAGTTGAGCTGGTGTTATATACATGAAACTATTACTGATATCTGCATTATCACTGTTATTCCTATTATTGTTATCTAAGTCTTGTACAGTAGGTGAACTGGATATATTTATGCTCAAAGCAGACGTATCCACTTCCTGTCTTGGAGGTGATTTTTCACGTGGCGTAGATCTGGAGGGACGTATATTGTCCTTTCGTAACTGGGGTCTTAAGTAATTCTCTGAATAAACATTATCGTTTTCTTTGTCAGTGACGTTGATTGGTTTGTCACTAAGTAAATTAGTCATGGACAAAGTTTTCCTTAACCCCGTTGGAGGTGGATGATCTGGCCGGTGATTATAAGGTTTAAGTTTCCAAGCTGGTACTTCACCAGATTCTCCTGCATCATTTTGCACTGTCCACCAGTCTCCTTTATTACTCGTAATAACCTGTAAAAGTCCATACAAATGCATTATAAAATGTTGAACTACTTTTCAAATAAAGTATACTATCCCTGCTATAATATTTTTTGACACAGTCAGGAAATACTCTACCTAAGGGGTTAATCCAGATGGAAAGGTATGGTGTATCAGCTAGAGCTTTTATCCCAAGCTAGACATCATTGTAAGTCCAACTTTGCTGAATAAATTCATGACAGTCTTAAATTTAACAGGCAAAGAGACTTTTTATCAAAATTCAACCTTCAAAGAAAACTTTTGGTTCATAGAACAGAATCGTTTCAATTTTATTCTGCATACACACTGAATAACTGTGCTTGATAATAAAATGAAATTAGTTTGTTGGTTCTATGGAAATAATATCATCTAGGAGCAATAAATGATCTTTTCATTTAATTAGGTGGAGATAATCCGAATGATGAATATAACCACAAGGCTGTATGCCAGAAATATGTTTTGAAAGATACGGAATGTGTAACAGTCAGACGAACATTTTAAAAAACAGAATGGAAAGAAACAGTTCTAGATGAATTAGCTATAAATGCTTATATCTATAACTTATCTCAGTTCAAACAGTCTATAATTCAGGTAGATAGTTTATACATGAATCATAAACTTGAAGATCTTTGCATACGCGTAACACAGGGTAAGACATTTTGATGAACTGCAAAGTTTACAAAAAGGATCTTGGATCTCTTGGTTTTGATATAAGTCAACTGTGATTTATAACTTGATCAGAAATTTACAACTTGAAAAACCCATGATAGGTGACATCAGGTCTTCATTGTCATTTGAAGACAGTCACCGATTAGTAGTAGATTATTATCTAAATATTTGGTTTTTGGTGACAGCCAATAATAGTATAAGGACGTGAAGAATAGAATAGAAAAATGTAGAGAAGATGCTATTGACGATTGCCAAGACGTGGTTAAAAGCCCTCTGTTGCTCTCAGGTTTTTCAGGGTTTCATTGATTTATTCCCGTTTGTGACTGCAAAGTTTACGAAAATATTCAACAACCAACTTTATTATAGCTTCTCAGGCGTTTTAATATAGTTAGCTTGAAACAGCTTTCATTTAGTTCGTGGGAAACTCTTAATTTTACGCGGATATCCTTTAACTTATCAGTCATACAAATAAATTAAGGTATCTTTCACGGCAACTGAACTTTCCAAAATCAAATTACCAGTGACTGGAAGTCGTCATCAGAGCCAGCGATATTGGGTGCTTTGGTGAAGAGCTTGAGGCAAGGACTAAGTATTAACTTAGTTATAGGACTGGGATAAGGTTGAGTATTGATTAGTAAACTACCAAAAAGAGTGTTCATCATAGGCATATTATCTGTTGACTTTTTAATGTAAAAAGTGACTACATTCTCGTAACTGAAGATTACACTCCATTTGTTTCCTATCAGTTAAATGCTATCACTGTAAGAGTGTATCAATAACAATTGACAATAAATATGAAACTCAAAACTTGTCAGATCGTTGGATGCTATTCAAAGTTTATACATTCCATGAATTTTAAGTGATCTTTTATTAGAACCTTTCATGAGTTATGAGAATTATTATAAGCTTTATTTATAGAAGGGAGAATATGATGTACATTGATTGCTGTAGCATTATCGGGCATACATGAATGACACTATATATTTCTTTAAATAAATTTGAAAATGGAAACAATTTCACCTATATACATAATAACCTATATTGTGGTGTAGACAAAAGCAACGCTAATGAATGATTCTTTCTATCCCTTTTGAAAATTAAATAAAGATAGTATTCGAAGTGTTTTAGGTTATAAAATGGAAACTTTAGGTATATCATTTTGTAAGATTACAACAGTTGTATTTCTTTTACATCAAATATTGAAACCAATGTTCTAGTGTTTTATAATTACCCAATAGTCTTTTTCAAAGTATTTGGTTATTATGAATTGGAAAATGATTTATTTATTAAAATATGCACTCACTGAAAGAATATCACCTGGTTGTACAGATAATTCTCCAGGCTTTGCACTCACATGGTGTACGTTTACAACACACCATCTAGAAAAATGTAAGAGAATTGATGAATTAATTCATAGTTTATGAAATAGACTAAAAGATAGAATAACCAAAGAAACTCATTAGTTCAGCACCATAAAATATGTCATTTTTGCTACTGTTAATGGAAAATACAGATTATCTCTTAAAAATCCGAATTTTTTCAGTTTATTTCAGTTATTCATATTAATTTTATGACTTGATACATATGAACTGCAAAGTAACTTTGTTTTAAACTCCTTGAATATTGGAAATCTTTGGAAGTATATCAGTATATGGTTGGATAAAATCTGTAGTTCTCCAGATAACTTCGTCTCAAGGGATTAAATATGGCATTAAATTATAGATGACTACTCTTAAGAAAAGTAAACCTCATTAAGTTTTGTGAGCATGATGTATTATAGTTTTTATTCCTAGGTAATTTAAACTTCTGATGTCTAATAAGGAATATACCAACTGTGAAATTCTTGTTAGAGTGAAATACTTTTAGCAGTAAAAGTGAGGAAGAATGGAAGCTTTTTGTTTTTGAGAAGGATGAACGTGCAAAAGTTGTTCTTTGTATTCTAGGACAATAAACTGTAAATAACTCAGTTTATCTGGTTGGTAACTGGGAAAACCCAAATGAATGCATATGAATTCAATGCTATGGCGAAGTGAGATGACGTATGAGATTCTATCTAATGAATTTAAATTCTGTCGGTCATCAGAAATGTGCACTTCTTAATGAAATCTGGAGGATTTTATTCCGATGTATGAGAGGGTTAAGGTTGAATTTCTTTAATGAATGCAAAAGAGGACCAAAAAGCTTTTAGTATCTCCGAAAGTTCTCGTGCTAATATCGGTCAATCACCTCCAATTTTTAGAGTTTACGAAGTCAACAATCTGAATACACAAGTATTTAGGTGAAAGCTGCACGTATAAAGTGAAAGCATTTTTGCTGAAGAGATGAAACGAACTAATATGTCGTTTTTTAAACCTGAAAATCCAAATTATTTGACCGTCATTAATCAGTAATACACAAATTTACTTGGGATGTAGAAAACAAAATTCGTCATTTAAGGTCATGTTACCAAAATAAATCAATAGAAGTGAGTTTCTGCTTGAAACTAGCGGAAAAGTAACTACTATAATTAATAATTTCATGGAAGATATTATGAATCGTCGCCAGTAATATGAGAGTGTTAATGCTGGTTTTAAGGATTATTAGCTGATATTGAATTACTTAATTAGTCAGTATCTGTTCTTTTCACTGAAATACTTTTCTATAAGAACTTTATACAATTCTTCCCTTCCACATGTACGTGACAAAGCATATATATAGGAAGAACGGAGAGAAGGGATCTTGTCCGCATTTATGAACATATCCCGAATAATTTGAGTCTTGATGGTCCCAGAGGTCTAGACAGTACAGTCGCATGGCACTTACTTGATAATGAACATAAAGTCGACGTATTAAAGTCATTCAATGTGATCATTAAACAAAAAGCCCACTCTTTTGCAGTTTGTTGAAGCAGTTACAATTAAAAGACTAAAACCTGATGTATGTATTCAGAAAGATACCGTTGTCAATCTTACTTTACCTTGGTAATTTTAATCTCCTAGATTTTAACTACAAGATTTCATTATCCTTAATTTTTTAGTACTTAAATTTTCTTTTTTGATCTTTTTCAAAACCTACTCTCACTTCCTAAGTTGTATTCATCTTATTTCTTAACATAATGGAAACCTGTTGACCTTTTACTACTTTTACTTAACCCTGACGTCCTTTTCGTTAATTTTAGAATAATATTGTGCACAAACCCCTCTCCTTTCTATGTATACACAAACATATTTTTTTTGTTATCTCACGAATGTTTATTTTATCACGATAAATAGTTCACCTTTGACTAGTCTTAAATTCACCAATGTCGGTCAACCTAAATCCCTGTTACCTTCCATCTCAATTCGTATAAGATTTCTTTAACTCATTAAAGTACTTATTACTATTTATTGACATACTTGTTATTCTCCGTTGTTTTGTCGGATCGACTGCTACTTGGGTAATTATTTTGAGTCTAATGACATCATTATGTTGTACGTCTATATCGAGAAACTGATTTACAAAGCGAAACATCCGGTTAAGTAAACCATTCAGTTTTGACAATTATTTTGGAACATATATAAAGTAAATATAAAGGATTAGGTTATCTAATTTAATAAGAATCGTATCAAACAGCTAGGTAAAACCTGATAAAACATTTCCACTTTTGATTGTACTTCCTTATAAGCTTGAAAATTTCATATTTTAAGCTAGCATATGAGTTAAGGCAATATCGTTGCTTTTTAAGTTCAGGTTTTCCTGAACAAAACTTGCATCCTCGGTCAAATGTTTTCGTTAAATAAATGAACGTTGTTGTTTTCTATACTAATAACATGTAAACTGTGATCGAAATATCACTTGGATATATGTATCTGAATAAACTATTGTTCACTTACTTCTGCTCATTATCAGATGTACGTCGAGGAGGATTGCGTACTTCACATGATTTAGCCCTCTGCTCCGGGGGTTTTTCTACAACATCTGGAAAGTAGACGGGAAATGTATTTATAGCTAGGTCATAACAGTCAAACAATGTTTAGTAATTCTTTCAAAGTCAAACGTGAATCGATCACTCTTAGGGAACTGGAGTTTTTCACGAGCTGGGTCGTAACTAATTCCGACGCATAAGGCTATTGAAGTGTCCACTTTAGAAAGTAGAAAGTGTAGGATGATGACTTATTGAAGGTTGACTTCAAACATTTAGCATCGAAACAGCGAACAACAAGATTGTTTCATTGACTTTGATTACTACGCTGTTAACACAACCGGTGGATTTTGATTAGTACTAAGTTTTTTACAACCATATTGGTTACCTTCCTTAAACACAGTTCAGCAATGTAAGGATTAAGTTGTGACCTATACTAATTAGTGGTCTGATATTTGACTACAGTGCTAAACAACACAGATCGATTACGAACAGTTAGTTAGGTGAAATGGGATTGAAGTACATTGTATTAAACGTTCAACAATACGAGGCTACTAGCAGAAAACTGTGTAACTCAGTCGAATTTCGTGTGTGAAATAATTCAAAAAGTGCTTATGAAACTTCAGAAAGTCATTTTATATTCGAAATGAGAGTGATAAACAACAGAGTCAGAAGCGAAACCGCCATAAGAATTACTCTAAATTACAAAATATGTATAGTTTTTCGTTAACTTACTACAACTACTTCTGTACGATACAAAGTATATCGCTGATTACCATGATACGATTATTTCGTCCATAGAACTATCCCCTTAAAGTATCTACCATAAAATGGGCGGTTATATGGAATTGCTAATTTAGGTGGACTTTTTCACAAACGGAGGATAAATTTCATAGGAGAAAAACAATAAAACTGAGAATGTTTACTACTCAGAATAATTGCAAAACACTGAAAAAAGTGTAATTTATGTGCCATGTTATAATAGTTCATTAGATATGGAGCACAGTGCCACAGTATTTTTTTACTGGATTGTTTTGCAAGCAAAATTTATTATTCATAGTGATATCACACATCGATATTATGCTTATACAACATCTTTTTAACCTCGCACGGTTAACTGTACCACTAGTTACTAGCCGGTACAAAGACTCGATAAAGAAGGAGGTTTGGCCATACGGATACCAACCCTACCCCAGAAAACCAATCCAATCACTAAACAAATTTCAAACCACAAAGAAAACATAGAAAATAAAAATTAACTTATTCCTCACTGCAGTCAGGGAGACGAAGTGATGCCCGTTGGTGAAAGCCTCCGGGAAGCCAGTCAACCGATGTGTCTTCTCTTCTCTCGATGAAAGCGAGAGTAAACGTGGGCACATGGAATGTCCACACCATGTGTGAACCTAGCTGGCAAGGCTGCCCACATTTCAAAAGAGATGAGGAGGTATAGCATGCAAGTGCTTGGAATCTGCGAGGAATCTGCAGATGGAATGGAAGTGGACTCTCCAAACTGTCAACTGGAGAGGAGTCAATAATCTACTCGGATATTCTCACCCAGAAGACAACCACGAGAAGAGCACACTGACTTTTCGAGTGGCAACCATGATGTCGCTAAGATTGTCAAAGTCTCTCATGCAGTGGGAACCAATCTCCTCCAACATCACCATCACGATCACGATCAGGATCAGTATCATGACAGCAAGATTCAACTCAAAAGGAAGGAAAGTCACAAGCATACAATGCTACACTACACACCTACAAATAATGCAGATGAAGAGAAGAAGGAGGAATTCTACACACAACTGCAATCAACACTGGACAAGACCCCACCCAGTTGGCGACATCGAAATTCTAATGAGTGATATGAATGCGAAACTGGGAGTGGACAACACACGAAGAGAACTGATCATGGGTTGAGAAGCACTCAGTGAAATGAAGAACAAGAATGGAGAAGTATTTGCAGACTTCTGAGCATTCAACGATTTGGTGATTGGAGGCAGGCACTGTTTTCAAGCAGGGGAGTGTGTACAAACAGAAGGATGTTCACAAAGTGACATGGATTTGTTTCACCAGATACCAGGACACACTACACACACTACACAAGAATCAGGTCGACTTCATCTCAATGTGAAGAAAGTGGAGATGGAGACGCAACCAGCCTACTGGAGACAAGATGAAGAAGAGGAGCAGATGTAGGTTCACACCACTCATTGTCTAGTGCAAGGAACCTACCTTGAAAATCAAGTTGGAAGCCTTGACAGAAGAAGCTGGAGCTGGAACTTTCTGAAAGAGATGTGGACGGCACCCTACATAAGCGTATTCCGGAGGAAGAAGAAAGAAGACAGGACAAGGAATGGATCTCGACGGACACATAGAAGCTGATAGAGGAGAGAGAGGAAGATGGTGAAGCAGAAGATGAACCGGTGCCGTGCAGTGCAAGGATGAACAACGAAAAGAAGAACTGAACACCAGCCATAAAACACTACACTGGAGAAAGAAGTGACGAAGATTGCGCGGAAGGACAAAAGACACACAGGCTGCAGGTAGGAGAAACCTGACAACACTACATCAAATAACCAGGTTACTATCTGGGAGGGGAGAGATCAACGCAGATGACACTAATGAAAGATATTGAAGGAAAGCTATTTACCGAAGAGGAGGAACAAGGGAAACGATGGGATGGCTGACCACTTCAAAAACTCTTGAATCGACCACCACCACCACCACCACCTGCAACTCCTCCAGAAATACCACAAGCAGCCGAGTCACACAACTACCAGTGAACACAAGCCCTCCGACAAAGCAGAAGTGAAGTCCTGAAAGCCACGCCATAAAGTTGCTGGAGTCCGGGAAACCAGGAGGACCAGATGGAATTCCACTAGAAGCACTGTAAACAGACGCAGAGACAACAGGGGACATGCTCACACCACTACTGTAGAAGGTTTTGAAGGAAGGGAGGAGAGAAAGGTACCTGCTGGTTGATTGGAAGAAGGGCTACCTGATCAAACTCCCAAAGAAGGGCGACATAAGTCTTTGTAAGAACTGGTGAGGAATCATGCTCCACCATTGTCCACCCCATGCAAAGTATTGTGCCGCATCATTCTGGAGAGACTGAAGGATGAGCTGGATTCAAAAGTACGACCGGAGCATGCTGGCTGGCTTCAGGAGGAACAAATCATGTGTGGATCAAATTGCAACGCTACACCACGCATCATCATAGAACAGAGTATAGAATGGCAGTAAACTCAACTCTACCTTACTTCGACTTCATCGACTTTGAAAAGGCCTTCGACAGCGTCGACCGACAAGTAATTTGACAAACAGCTGCTTCAACACCACGGTTTCAGTGCCACAAACCTCTATCAATCTCATTCAACAACTATATGATATATGATGAAGCTACATGCCAAGTGATTCACAATGGGAAGCTCAGTGACGCCTTTGATGTTTGGACAGGAGTAAGGCAAGAATGCAGCCTGTCATCACCAATGATCTTCCTGATTGTGGTCGACTCGACTGGATCATGCATCAAACTATGAGGAGTTGTGAGAAGTGTGGCATACGCTGGCTGGACCGATGAAAAGACTCCAGAAGAAGATTTGGATTTCGCCGGCGATGATGTTGATGATTTATGTCTAATGCCTTGTCGCACAAACTCGAAGATCTACAGGCGAAAACTAACAGGTTGACAGAAGAGGTGAGGCAGCGAAGGGAGACGGGACTTCAAGTGAATGTAGAAAAGACAGAGGTGGAGGTGATGAAGATACTTTACCAACGACAACGACAACCGCAACAAGCGGCGATCACCATCAACGGGAGAAACCTGAATGAAGTAGTCTCCACCTACGTGCCTAGGCAGCATCGTTTCAACTACAGTCGGTACAGGCACAGATGAAGACATCAAAGCAGTCAGGATGGGAAAGACAGCAAGACAGGCTTTCATTAATCTGAAATCAGTGTGGAGATCTGCACTCAGGATAAAGCGTGAACAACATCCGGATTTTCAAGACTAATTCAGTCAAGGAAGTCAGTGCTTCTATGTGATGGTTGAGAAACTTGACGGCGCGTCACGAAAAGCATTTCCAACAAACTACACACATACATCAATAACATCAACAGCTGCCGTCTACGCTCACTCGACACTGACACTGAAGATCAGATCAGATCAGATGGCCAGAATAATGAGAATAGGCAACAAGGAACTCACTCTGGTTGGCAACGAACCAACGAAGCAAGAACCTATCGCCCAACAAAATGTAGAAGAAAGTGGAGATGGATTGGGTATACAGTGAGAAGGCCGACTGGGGACATCACGCATCAGGCCAGGTCGTCGAATGGAACTCGCATGGGAAACGACGAGTTGAGCGTCCGAGGCGAGGGTGACATGGAGGAGATTGTGTGGGGAAGAAATGAAAGGTTGTGGGTAGTGGTGGCCCCAGGTTGAAAAGACTGCAGAGAAGAGAGTGGAATGGAGACGTGCTACTGAAGCCTTGTGTTCTACTAGGAACCCTTGGGAATAAAAATATTTACTGCTGTATGTTTTTAATTGTTTTTCCCGCTTAAATTATTACCATTCAGGTATCTACACTTTGTTCCACCTCATTAGTTACGGTTTTATGCCATATGAACTTGGCTTGGTCTGTAATGATCAACTCTACCAAAACAAGTATTCAGTAAGGTAACTCAGCCATTGCTATGCACTCAATCGGGCTTAAACGCACAATAGGATATTATACAATAATATTCTTGCAGAGGTTGTTTACTGAGTCACTGTTGATCGAATGAAAGCCAAATATCTGCAACGAGTTAATTGATAGCGAGCCCATATGCGAGAAAATTCTACTACCAACAAAATTAAATAAGGGGATGCAGTTGAGTTACAAATTTGAAGTTGGGACGTTCTGCGTTTACCATGTATTACTATGAGCTGTGTACAAATTTCGCATGAAATATGATCCAGTAAAAATATTGTCGTTGTGCGCTAGACTAAATCAGCTAACATTGCCCTACGCTTCCATAGAGTTAAAGTTTTACATTCACGTTAAAATTCGATATA